GCTTCAATAATAGCTTTTTTTCGTTCAGTTTCGGCATCTTTTTCAATAACTTTTTGTCGATGTATCGATATCATTAGTTTAGTTTTTTCGGCTTCCATTATTTCATAATTTTTTCTTATTGCTTCGGGTATTTTTGGTTTTGTTACACGTACAGCTTGTACAGTAAGACCGGGTGCAAATTCATTTAAATCTTTTTGTATTGCCGTACGTAAATTTTCATCAATTTGATCAAAAAGATCAATATAAACTTCTTGTAATGAATGACTTGAACAGAATTGATTTAATTCATGATGAATTTTATTAAATATTAATGCTTTATCATAATCGGCAGTATAATTACGAACAATATCCGATACAGCTGATGGATGTAATATATTAACAACTTCAATACGATCAAAATATATCATAACACCACCTGATGTACCGCATGGTACATTTTTTACTTCATCCGTTTGTAATGTAACCTGTATTGAACGATATGTTGTTATAAATGGTATCATTAAATGAAAACCCGGACTAGATGTTTCTTTTAATAAGGCACCACCACGATAATAAACACCTGTATGACCTTCATCTATTTTATGTACAGAATGATATAATGCCATTGATATGATCAATATTATCATTGCTATTATTGATGCTATGTTTGCCATCGTTTTTTTTTTTAAATTTTATTTTTCTTCAACTCATCCAAAATCCAAATCAATCATTCAATCAATCAATCTAGAAATGAAAAGGTAAGACAAACAAACAAAAACAGACAAAAATTATCGATTTTAAATACCTTTTCTTTTCACTTGTTTTTCGTATCGATCGCGATCCAGCTGACGTTCAATTCGAATTTATCGAAAAAAATGACATTCGAAAAAAATTGGATTTTTTTTTCTTTTCTATTTCGATCCACCTGAAAACAACACATCACACATGTTCACAATAGCAAAATTTCAATTCACTAGATGTCGTTGGTGTTTGAAAAAAACTTCCAAACAAAAAAAAAAATTCAAATTTTTTTACCGCCAAAAAAAAGAAAAGAAAAATCCTTTCTAAAAAAATTCTAGACATTTCCTATGGAAAAAACTAATTTGAATTTTAAAAGAAGAATTTTTCCCCTGTATCATGTATGTAGAATTTCCCACCAACAAAAAAGAGTTGAAATTGCTGGGGAAATTTTCCGGAAGAAAGCATGTTTGTTTTGGGAAATTCTGATCTGAATTTTTGATTTTTTTTTTTGCTTGAATAAATCAATTGATGACGTCAATTCTTATACAAAAAATCATCCATATGCTAACCTTGATTAACATTTTACTGATTTGATGATAACAAACCAGAAACGAAAGAAATTTGTTGAATTTTTTATATCCTTTTACATACAAATTCTCTATCCTATCTCCAATTCAGAAAAAAAAACACTTTTTTTCCTCGAATTAAAATGACGTAATTTTTGTTTTATCAATCAAAAAAAAAACATAAAGAAATTTCCCGTTAAATATTATTGATGACAAAAACCAGCGAAAAATTTCTAAAAACTTCTCGAAACTTTCTCTTATTTCATAGCATTCATCTTGTGATTTTTTTTTTTTGGAGAATGAAGAGGGTCACAAGGCAATAATAATTTCTTTTTCCCTTGTCCATTGCAATGAAATTTGTTTGTTTTTTTTTTAAAATGACCAGAAATAATTCTATCCAGAAAACAAAATAGCCATCAGGCAAAAATGTAAATGAAAAAAAATTTAAAAATTTCCAAAAACATTGCTGATATCGTAATCATCATCGTCATTATTCGTTATCCACTCCCACCATAACCACCATCGACCATCGCCATCATTATCATTCATTAAATTCATTATAAAATCATCATCAACAACGACAATATTGCATCGCATGTGTTTTCCAAAGAGAGAGAGAGAGAGAGAGAGAGAGAGAGAGAGAGAG